GTCAAAAATTTCACATGAAGTTAATTAAAAAATAAAGAGTAAAACCATAAAAACAAGGACAAAATGATAATAATTACAGTACTAATCATAAAATAAATATATTTATTGAGAAAATGGTGATTCAACATTAAAAAAAATCTTTAAATGACATGTTATATCTATATTTTAATGTAGTCAGAGTAAATATAAAAATATAATGAGTCACTGACGCCTTTGAGAAGGAATCATGTCAAAAAGCAAAGAAGAATTAATGAAAAGTGTTTTGGCTCCACCTGCTGGTCAGACTGTTCATGACATGTGTGGAGTCTGAATCCAAATGAAACCAGAAATGTTTAAGGATATAAAACCTGCTGTGTTTGTGTGTTTGTGTCGTACCTGCTGCCTTCAGAGCCGGAGCCACCTCCTGATACTCCAGACGCTGCGTCTTGTTCTTGTCATAAACCAAGAAAATATCCTGAGGAGAGATTGAACCAACAAACATCAGATGTGTTTGACTGCTGTGGTGCATTGTGGGCACAATTATGTACATTAAACTGGAACAAACACACAACAAAAGTAAAAAAATCTGAAATTAAACTGACGTCCCATTGCTGATTTGCACAGAAGCGATGAACACACCTTTCAGACACGTCAAACACGCATCTGTTTTCAGCCTCTGATGAGAAAAGCTTCCTACTTTAGTAAAAGACACACATGCAGCTGTTTGTGTTCAGCGTCTACTTCCACTATTTTGTCATGTGTTGTTGTTGTTGTTGTTGTTTGTCTCACCGTCCACTTCCGGATCTTGTCCCACAGACTCAGGAACTCGTCCCAGTTCAGCTGAGCGATGCCCTGACTCTGCAGAAACCCTGAGGTCAAGGAAATTAGAGGAAAAAACGAACCCACGGCAGTCCTCAACAAACAGAAACACTGCAGAGACGTAATGTAAGAGTTTAGAGAAGATTGGTAAATATGTGTTCATGAGAGTGACAAAATGTAGCTGAAAATACTAACCAAGTGTCTGTTTGAGCAACACATTGATTTAACAGGTGTAGAGTTAGTTCTTGTTGTGCTGCTTTTTTTGTTTATCATCAGTTTAAAGCCTGAACAGGGACTTGAACCCTGGACCCTCAGATTAAAAGTCTGATGCTCTACCGACTGAGCTATCCAGGCTCTGCGTGAGAGTTTTATTTACTCAAATCTCTGGTTAATATCTACGACAGACTCCAAAGTGGTGATGAGACAAATTAGTCGATTCTGGTCGCATCAAACAGACTTTCCAGAGCCTGGATAGCTCAGTCGGTAGAGCATCAGACTTTTAATCTGAGGGTCCAGGGTTCAAGTCCCTGTTCAGGCAATATGACCTTTAGGTGAGTGAATCATACATTTAAAGACATGAGAAACACAACGGATCAGTCAGAAACCCTGTGAACAACGCTGAATCTGCAAATATGTGGTGGATGGAATGTAAATGGAAATGTTCAACAAACTCTTCCTAAAATGTAAAGAAATGTTAATTCACCTAAAAAGTGACTTGTGATCGTCATGCATCATCTGTTAAGTTTTAATAATCTGAGTCTTTATTGAAGAGTTGATTGGACCCAGTCTGATCAGCTGTTCAAGAAACTAAAACCTTCAGATTAAAGGTCTGAGGCTCAGAGTTCACTGTGTTTCTGCTGCATTTGATCAAAATGTAGGAATTTACTTTTGCATTTTGAGAGGAATGTCAGTACTTCACAGAGCCTGGATAGCTCAGTCGGTAGAGCATCAGACTTTTAATCTGAGGGTCCAGGGTTCAAGTCCCTGTTCAGGCGACACTAGTTTTAAGATGCTCGCATTAAGGACAAGAGAAACAAAGAGGTTCAGTCCCAAACTGTACCAACGATGCTGAATCGGGAGTCAAAGGGAATCTCTGCAAACATGGTGGTGATGAGTGGAGTGTTTAACAAAGTTTGCCTCCAATGTAAAGAAATGTTAGTTATACCTAAAAAGTGACATGTTGACTTGTGATTATGATGCATCATCTGAGTCTTTGATTGGACTCAGTCTGATCAGCTGTTCAAGAAATGGAAATGATGTCAGGATTCAACTCAGACTTCAGGGTCAGAGTTTGTTAAACCTGCTTTCTGGAACAAACCTGAAACCTTCAGATTAAAGGTCTGATGCTCACAGTTCAGTGTTTGTGCTGCATTATGTTGTAATTATAAATGGAAGAATGTAATTTTGGATTTTGAGAGGGAATTTTCAGGTTTCCAGAGCCTGGATAGCTCAGTCGGTAGAGCATCAGACTTTTAATCTGAGGGTCCAGGGTTCAAGTCCCTGTTCAGGCGAGACTAGTTTTAAACTGTATGTATGTGTACCAGTAGGTTATGACTGTGGTTAAGCAGTGAACCTCTGTCGTAGTCCTGCTTCCCAGCTCGCGTCCTACAGACTGTCAGATGTTCACCTTCGTCTCACTACAACCTGTTATCTCACACCGTGTGAAGACTTTTAATCTGAGAGTTGAGGATTCGAGTCCCAGTTCAGACCAGTCAAGTTTTAAGACACTTGAATCATAAACTATGGACCAGATGTTCAATCACAACTTGTGTCAACATTCAACACAACAGACTGTATCTGATCCACAGGAAACAACTGCAGCAGGTTAGAAATGTGAAATGCTGAGATTTAGTTCCAGATGTTGGAGAACTTTATTGTGTAAGTGTTCACTTTGACCAACTGATGCTCATGAACCTGTGTGTTTCTGCTGCTAATGTAGAGACACAACTGGGAGCGACTGAACTCTGTTGTGCAACTTTTATTTATTGTCAGTTTAAAACTAGTCTCGCCTGAACAGGGACTTGAACCCTGGACCCTCAGATTAAAAGTCTGATGCTCTACCGACTGAGCTATCCAGGCCCTGACACAAGACCTTTGTTGTCCCAACAACGACGACATCTTTTGCTCTCCTGCCAAAATCACAAATACTCACTTTACTGTACTTCCTTCCTGTGATGCTGTTTTGTTAAGGATACATCCATGAGGACCACCAGGCTCTTGCAGTGCTCCAACACCAAATACTTCTCGCTGCCGGCAAGCACTGAACGAACACAGGAGATCATCGATTTAGTTTTGTGTAAAACATTCATTATTTTTCTGTTTTTCTTACATATAAAACTCTAAAGCATTCCAATGTACCTGTACTGTAAAGTGCAAATGCCAATAAAACTCTATTGTGCTCCATTTTGTTCCATTCATGTGGTGAGTGTTTGGGCTGTGAACTCTATCAGTGGCATGAATGCTTCTATTGTTGTGCTAATGAACCAGAGACGGGGCTGCTTCAGTGAGGTTGACACCAAAAAGAAAATGCAGCAGTCACAACATGTTTTCACCAAAATGCAAATATCCCCCGACATCCTGTCTTTGTTCCTTTTCTGGGGAAGATAACTGTAGCTCCTCATCAGTGCCGCTTCTTCTGCTGCTGTGAAACGCTAAACTATCGTCTCCAAAACCGGCTGAAGTCCAAACAAGTTGCTCAGTGGAAAGGTTGGAATCACACAACACTTTGCTGCTGCGTTCTGTACAAACTGTTTAAAGGAACACTAAAGGTCACCCGTTCCTCCGGGCACTACGAGGATTAAACTTCAAAAACAATGTTGGTGTTGAAATAAGAAACAAGACAGAACAAGTGTTTTAATCTGCTCCTAAAAGCAGGAAGGCTGCACTGACCTCCTCCCTGTATGGCCTCAGTCAGGAGGCTGTGGAGATGCACCGGTTTGCATAATCCCTTCTGAAGACACAGAACAACAAACATAAGGTCAGACAGAGCCTCGTGGTTGAAATCACTGAACAGTCGTGAGCTCAGCAGATCCCACCTTGTTGCAGTGCTTCTTGAACAGCTGTCTGGTGGATTTAGGTGAAGGAAGAGCAGCCTGGTGAGGAAACGACGTCTGGTGGAAGAAAACAGAGTCTGACTTATGAAACAAGCAGCTACTGTCTCGAACAAACTCACACCCGGAAACTTTTTTATCCAGAAACTGGACTTTTTCATTTAACTGAAAGTCCAGAATCTGCCACCTTTGTGCACCGATTGTCATGCTGGACCCTAACAGAGTTTTCCACAGAGCTAAAACATACAGAAAGAAGCCTGTTTAACTTCACATGTAGCCGAACTGTGAGAATAACCTGCTGCAGAACACAAACCTACACGGTCCACATGATGCGTACGTTATTATGGGTCGTTAATGAGTCATTAGCCATGTGAGCTGGGGCCGTATACATCTGAGACTCTCCATCGGTCAGTTAAAACCGAAGAAATGAAAAGTCTCCGAGAAGCACTGAAGTAAGAATCAGCTGGACTTCTCTTTGTGGCTCTAGAAGGTGTTTCACCTCCAATCAAAGAGGGTTCTTCTGCTTCAACTGAC